TTGAAGCAACAGCCATGTAGTTCTATAGGAGGAATATGGACTAAAAATGTGAGCAACAACAAACTTTTAGAGAAAATGGAAACAAAAACGACTTATTTAATGATGAAATAAGGCTTAGAAAATTAATGAGGAAAGAGATCTTAAATATTTGACACTCACAGGACTTACTAAAGGCAAGAGGAACAGAGAAAAGCAGCACATAACTTATTTAACAAGTTTGTGTAATTATTTCAATGAATATGGACTAGAGGTGGTAACCAAAAGATAAACTTTACTAAGAAGTACAAATGACAGGAAAAGATTGCTCACATCTTGAAGGGACGTAGCACATAGAAGAAGTGTAAGTCATAACTAAGAAGCCTTAAGGTCAAAAGATGCTAAATTAATGGAATGAGTCATAGTTTCTGCAGATTTCAGTCCATGAGCAATCTTGCGCACCATCATTAAGACAGAGGTATCAGTTAATAGGATGAAAAAATGGAAAACATCTCATGTGATGTATTTCTTCCTTCAAAAGGACTTCCACAAACTAAATAATATTTTTCTCAAGTGAATCATGTATATATATATTGGGAAGGAATCAAATACAAACAAATATCAGTCATAATTATACATTGAAAGAAGTGCTGAAATTACATGTATGCTTTATTTTAAATTTAAATTTTAAATTCGTTGATTCTGACCTGGCACCTAAATTTCAGACACTTTCCCACTGTCATAATGTAGCTTCCCTGTGTATTTTCTATAAATAATTCCACACTGATTCTTCTGATGATCGTATTGGACTTTATAAATTTAAGTGTAGTCCTAGATTGGCGGCTAGGGTTTGTAATTTTACTGTTGAAATTTCTAATTGTAACCATAATGGCTTGTAGAACTCTTCTTCCTTACTGTCAATTATGATCTTTAAAAAATTTAAGTACAATCAGGGAATTAATTGTTCTGATGAACTTTACTCTATAGTGCCTAGACGTAATGAATTTAAACATCGTAGTGAGGTCTCATCATTTTACAGTTGAAATCGCTGGATGTAACCATAAGTTCAATACTAAGAGTTTACATTTTTGACTTGTGGAACTCTCTTCTGGTTTCTTGCTTTCCAGTCAAACTTTGAGCTTCAAAAGTTTAAATACATTCATGTTTTCTGAATTTCTGGTCTTTTGTTGATTTCTCTCCTTAATTGTATTTTTTTTCTCATATTCTCTAACTCCTTGCATCTTAGTGGCTTCATTGACTTGGTTGGGGTGAAATGATTAAAAAAAAAAAAAAATATTAATAAATGTTGTAAACCTCTCACTGCTCTATAGCTATTTCCATGGCATGTATTCTGATGAGCTACATTTCTAATTGCACTTACAACCTCCCATCTTTACAACTGGAAGCTGCCATACCATCTACACAAGTGTCAATCATCCCCATTCCTTATATATTCCATTAGTAAGTAATGAGTTTCATTCGGACAGCTTCTTCCCAAGAATTGCTGCTTTGCGGAACAGACTCCTGGCAGTATGTTTTCCCAATTGCTACAATCGTATTCAAGTGAAGTGTTAACTGTTATCTTTCCTGTATAACGCCATGAACTTCACTTTTTACCTTTTTGTATGTTGATACAACACCACATAATAACCATCTATCTTCAGTGGCTTTTGGACCTTGTATTGGGTGAACATTAATATAAAATAAATTCTGGCATCCAATGTATCCTGATGAACAACCAAACTGACTTTAATCAGATTCTATTTGGTTTTGTCATCGTTTTTTTGTAAATAGGACATATTGTAATAAGCAGTAGTTTTGTTAAGACAGGTGATATGCTGTATAAATCTGGGCATAAATTTACCAAGCAAGACTTAATTATTAGTGCACTTTTTATACATTTTCCCCTGAATAAATTATTTCTTTTTTAAATATAAGAGATGTAAAAATAAATAATAAGACAATAAATAAAAGAGGTGTAAATGAGATAGAAAAACAATATTCAAGCCAAGATCTCTGTGGAACAATAAAACCTGCTGGAATTCATGCTGAAGTTGAAAGAATAGAAATGTTCAGGCAAAAAGAATGATGAAGGTTGCAGAATGTCAAACTTTCAACATCATATAGAAGACCAATGTTGAGTGTGAATATACTTGATCACTTGGAGAATGTTTCTCTAAAAATAAAAAAGACAAATCATCTTACATAGGATATAGCACAAACTAACAGAGACTTGCCTACCCTGTATTGGACTATAGTGCCATTAGATAACACATTAATAAGTAGCATAAAGATCATGGTAGCATTAGACAACTACTCACAAACAATGCCAAAATACTAGAAAAATCAAATAATAAAAACAAACTTATGATCCTTGAAGGAATACTCATACAACAAAAACAACCATCAATAAATAAAGTTAACAACTGTCAATAATTAAAAAGTTATACTTAAAAGTCCACACCCTCAAACGCATATAAAAAAATATGTCATTCTTTGTCTATGTCATAACACTCACTAGTTCTATGAAAGTCACTCATTATCACTACCTACCCTGATGATGACTTATGGAAGTAAAAATCTTCAACTATATTTCTTGTAAATTTTCTTCCAAAATGAATTTTTGAAAATTTCTGATGAAATCTCCTTGTCTGAGAAGGATTAATCATAATTTTGAAAAGTCAATAATTAAAAATAATTGACACAAAGTGTCTGTTTTTAATATTTACCTTAAAGGACGTTTGCTGCCGAAATACACAGGATATATATCCTGTGAATTTAGGCAGCAAATGTTCTTTAAGGCAAATATATATATATATTTGAAATATAAATATAAACGTGAACATTGAAGTCAACACTCAGAGGTGACAGGCTGTTTCATACTAGATGCAATCAGTGGCCTGACAATTACGTCCAACATGAAACAACCTGTCACCTCCAAGTGTTGACTTCAATGTTCACTTTTATATTTATATTTACATGCTCTCTATCTCTGATATTGAGCACTTTATAGCTCATCTTAAAACTATATTTCTTCATATATATACACACACCAAAATGTAAAAATTCAGATATAACTAAAATATATATATCTGTAAAAGGACAATATGAAAAACAAAAGAAAGTTTTCCTTTTGTCTTTAACACATTTTGTCTGCTAATGGAATTTATTGAAGCAAATGTAAGTTTTATTTTGCAACAAGTATTTATAAACAGAAGTAAAAAGGTAACTTTTACAGAATTTTTAAATTTAAGAATGCTTGTAAATATACATTAATCTAACTGAAAGATAAATTATGGAGGATGATATATAAAAACAAACAAACTCAGCAACAATAGCAACATTCATACTATTTCGATCATCCATACTGTTGTCCACCTCTTTATTGCTATATTTTGGCCATTGTACATACTGCCCTTCTTAAGGTTATAAACACTGGAATTTCTAACCAAACACTTTTAGTCCATGGAGGTAGATTGTTCCAATTCCATATGGTATGCATTTTTTTTTTTTTAAGAAGAAAGCCAGAGTTTTCAATAGCCGAAATATTGTAAATACGACAATACAACAGTCCAAATGATGTAAATAGTGTATATAGTTACAATATCTCAGAAATATAGACAAATGTTTACATTTACTCATTTTCATTTTTTAGACATTAAATTACATCCCCCATTTTGTTGCAAAATAAAATCCCTACATTTACCATGGTAAAGTCCATTAGAGAACGAAACATGACAACGAAGGTAAGTTGTTTTCCTTTTGTCTTTATTCATACACTAAAATCTATATAGGCAGCAAGAATAAATTTCAAAAAAGCTTTGTCAAGCTCAACCAGTTGTATTTCTATGTTCCTTTTTTTGCAGTGTCTTCCAAGTTTTTGATAAAGCTGTTGAGCATTCAAATCAAAATAGTGAACAAAGTATCGAAAAGAGTACAGACAGACCTTGTCACTGAAGTTTAAATATGCTCGTTTGGTATAAGTAATGCTAATAATAGGTGTTTTCTTATAAAGGAACATTCAGAATTTATTGATTGATCTGCCAGTGCTAAGTTTGTTTGAAATTTATAAAATCTTTTGATTAAAACAATTGTTCAGAAAAATAGGTTTCTCATGCCTACAAGCAGTTATTGCTTTTCCAATATTGCTGGTGCTTCGTTCCTAACATTTTGTTAAGAGTAGTTTAAGACATCAGATTTCATTTTGTCATTATGTTCTCTTTGTGTTACATTTGATATCCATTTTAGTTGTTGCTGCTGCTTATAGTCCTCAAGTCATGTGGTTTCTATTATTTGGTATCATTATTACACATATGGTACAGTTCTTATATATATATATATATATATATATATATATATATATATATATATATATATATATATATATATACACACATATGTATAATAATGTGGTTTATAAGGACATAAGCTGCAAGAATGAGATGGCAACTTATATCTGACATAACTTTACATAACCATGTGCTCCAGCAGATGTTTTGTTAAACAAGCTCAAGTACACTGAAGAGATTCATATTCTCTTTTAATTCTAAATTTAAAAATATATACAAGTATTTTTAAAACATGCCAATTTTATGTCAAATACAAATTTTCTCCATATTATAATTAGTTATCTCTTATCTGTTGTATCATAAACATGTATACATATGCATACATATCTATAAACATACACAGATTTATATATCCAGATATATATACATACATACACATGTATTCATGCATCACATTCCCATACATGTGTACATATACACATATACTAAGGCATATCTTCATATACACCCATCCATATATATATATATATATAAATACATATACAAATATGTATCACATAAACATATATGTATTCATACACATACATGCACACAAAAATATATATATATATATATATATATATATATATATATATATATATATATATATACACAAAGAATCCATTTCTTTCATGTTTTTTGAAAACTGAATCCAAAGCTGTAACTGCCCTCATCCTGTGTTTGTGATGATGTCTTTCAGAAGAGTAAAAAAAGAAATCTTTGAGTGAAGAAAGAATGGCAGGAACCTTGCTGTGAAAGGAATAAAAAAAAAATGTCTATAAATAAATCCAGAAGTAAAATGGCACATAGAACGTGAATTGGGCAGAGGGAAACCGGAAAAATAAAAAAAAGAACTAAACAAAACAAAAGGAAAGAAACATTTTGTTTTTTGGTTTTTTATTTATTTCTCATCTTGTTCAATTTAGTCTTTCTTTTCCCACAATTCCATTCCTACCTGGGCCAGAGGATCAGACTTATTCAGTTTCTTTATTTTTTTTGTATCAGTTTTTTGCTGATGCTGATTTTGCAGTGACAGCAGCCTACATCCATCGGAACAACATTCGAGAAAGGCATCGGTTTGATGAATAGGGATTCATCATTTTAGGGGAGGTTGGTTAGGATGAAACAGATCAGAAGAAAACTGGATTTACTAAAACATCCATATACATAGCTGCAATCACATACACATATAATATAGTGGTTTTAGACATATATATGTATGTGTGAGTGTGTATAGATAGATATGCACACATCTGAAAAGATATAAACATATGCATGCATACACATATTCAAATAAATAAATTCACAGTCTTTTTACAGTTATATTTTTATTTATGTCCAAATCCTTTACATATATTTATAGATACCCAAATATTATATATATATATATATATATATATATATATATATATAAATAGATAGATAATAAATATATAATATATAAATAAACACATCTTTCTGTTTGGCTCTCTCTCTATATATATATAAGTTTTATTGTTAAAATCATTATCATATTATTAACTGGTAAGGTCAAAAGAATTTTTTGTTTATTCAATTATATTTTTATCCTTTTTATAATTTTAAAAATTTTGTTCATCTTGCATCTGAAGGGACCAAAGATTAGTATAAATAATTTTAGTTTCTGACCAAAGATTAGTATAGGAAATTTTAGTGTCTTGGTATATTGGGAACAATTTTTAATTCATGCAGTTTTGATTGATGACTTAACAAATGATCTTTCTTCAAAATTTTTTAATCTAATTTCTGAGTACATTCTTTCATAATTCACTACCAAAGAGTTTTATTTTTGTGTCAATAAGCTTGTGTCTATTGTAAAAATATTGTGTTTTCTTTGGTAGTTTTTTTTATGATTACATCTTTATGCATCAGTAAGTATCATGTCAGTTATTTTCATGCATTTGATTTTTATGAATTCATAAGTGCCATTTTTTTTTTTTTTTAAATTGCATCTTCATGCATGAGTTTTTGGCATCATGACCTCTTTTTATTATTAGTTGTGAAATATTTGTTATGTATCTTCTTAAATTGAATGAAATTTTATTTCTGCTAAGGTTACTTGTTTTCCATGGTTAAGGTTACTAATATTTGTAGTTATTTTTTTTATTTTATATGGTATAGTATTTTGGTGTTATTGGTAGATATTTGTTGAACTTCTTGTTATGTTTTCTTGTTGTATTGGTTGATGATAGGCAATTTAATTGAGTTATTATCGTATGTCAAGTTAATCCACATGATAATGTAGTAATTGTTTAACCAATTTATATGTTATTTTAATTGTTATTATTAGAGAGACATTCTCCAAGTGGATAAGCAATTTCATCAAGAATATTATATTGATGAGTTTAATTTGTTCTTTTTTGCTGACATGTGGTATAAATTCATGCATTAAAGTTCTTATAATTTTAAAATTTTTAAGCTAGTTTATGGTTACAGTATTGTTGAATTCTGTGGAATATTGTAATTATATATGCGAGTGTGTGTGATGCTCCAAAATTAGTGCCTCTGTTTATTTTTATGAAAGCTGCTGCAACAGATACATTGAACACAATAATAGCATTAGACAGATTAAGTTTGTCAGTGAGAAAACTAATTTTTTTCATATAGTCACCATAATAAACTATGTTTTTTCACTGATGATGAACAATGGCCTATGCAGGGCCAGCTGGCTTGTCCCGCACTATTGCCCTTACTGTTGAAATGCATTCAGGTTAACTATGTTCACATTCATTATTTTGTTTCCATAAATGTTCAGGTAGCATTAATGTGTGTCAATAAGCAAAATCTTTCCAGCATGGAGTAATTCAATGATACACTTTTGCTTCACATCTATTTTCATGCCTGATGCCAAGGTAAAAAATGATGAGTTATTGATGGGAAGGTTTAACTTCTTGCATACCACGAACATGATTTCTGATATCATCAAACAATAATATAATAAAACTGGAGGCATTCTTTTCTGAGTGATATTGTTGCTCTGCTTCTCATTAATTACACATCTAACATATATGTATATAAACATACTGACTTACATGTACAGTAAGATACTAAATATGATGAGAGAGAGGAAGAATGAAAGAAAGAGATAAAGGAAGAAAAAGAAGTAGAATGGAAGAAAGAGAGGAAGAATAGGAGAATGAGGAAGAAAGAGGAGGAGAAAAAATGAAGAGAATAAGAAGAAGAGAAGAAGGGTAGAAAAGAAAGAGAAAACAAAGCAGAAGGAGAGAAAAGAAAGAGATGGGAAAGAAAGATATTACAAAAGCAAGGAAAAACAAAAGTCAAAGAAAAAAAAAGGTAAAGAAAAAACTAAAAAATAATATAAAAGAAGAAAAAGAAAGAAAAATGAAAGAGAAACAACAGAAAGTGTTAAATGAATGAAAAAATATGTAGTAAATAAATGAAAGAAAGAAGGAAAAAAATTAAGTAATAAAATATAAGAACAATTTGTGAAAGAGGAAAACTAAAAAAAATGGAAGAAAGCATGATAGAATTAAAAAGTGAAAAACTAATGAGAGAGTGAAATAAAGGAAAAAAGCTAAGCAATTTTCTAAAAAGTGACAACTTTAAAGGAAAGAAGAAAGCAGATGGTAAAAATAATAAAAGAAACAGTAAATTATTCCTTAGAAAATAAAGCGAAGGTTAACGGGATAAATATTAAGCCAAGAAAAAGAAAAAAAGAAGCAATAAATAAATGAATATCTCAATACACAAAAAATAATTCAGAAATGAAAAAAAAAAAAAAAACCGAGAAAACATTCAAAAGTAAAACAGAAAAACAACTCATGAAGAATGAAAACAAAAAAAAAACCCCAAAAAATCTAAACTAAGTATAGAAAGAAAATTCTGGCAAAGAAAGAAAAAATGGGAAAAAAGAAACCTTCATTTTTTTTTTTAACTAATGTATGTGCATTACTCTCAGTTCAAACAAAATTATCTCCCTTTGTAGTGTTCCACTATCCCCACAGATTTGAACTTCAAATAGCTCTTTGAGAGCTGAAAGATTTATTCCTGTGTTTATGCAATGAAAATTCTTCATTTTAATCAAAAGCACTTCTGCAGGAAGTTGATGTCTTTCTTGATTGTAAAAAATCTTGCACTTTGGATTCCTCAGCTTATATGGGAGCACACACACACACACAGTCAAATATAGATAAATTTATCTACCTTATAATGTGGGAGCATGGAAGTGTTTGAGTGCAAATTTGTATATACAAAAGCATAAATATGTATATGCATATATGTGTGTGTATATATATATATATATATATATTTTTTTTTTTCACATGTATCTTTCTTCCTAAAGCTATCATTTTACCAGCTTCTTACAGATGAGAGATTTCATTATGCAAATTAATATTTTCCTAATAGAAATGGTATTAATTCTTCAATGTTGGTAAAACTGTCATGATATATTTATACAATAAATATATTGTGTGAATTTTGACTTATAATATCATTACTTATAATATTTACTTAGCTTATTTGTTGGTGTAACATTTTACTATGAAGCTTCAAGTTTGTTTATAATATTGCAAATGAATTGCATTCAATGAAACATGTATAAAAAGAAAGACTGATGCCATATATGTGTGTATATATATATATATATATATATATATATATATATATAAAATGTCACACATATAGTGCTGGTGTTAATAAAACGGTGCTTAATGTAAACAAAACTACTCTCTATTAATCACCACAGAAATCCTTCCCTGCCCTTCATTAGAATGTCCGACACTGAACTTCTCGAGAGCACCTCTCTGCGGCTGCTCAGTCTTACATCGACTGCTGACCTGAGATGGAACAAATACATTGAGTCAATTGCTTCGTCCACCGCAAGAAATGTTGGCTCCCTGTGCTGTGCCAGGGAATTTTTCTCCCCGGAATCGATCCTCCAGATCTACAAATCAACAATTTACCCTTGCATGGAGTATTGCTGCCATATATGGTCTGGAGCTCCTTCTGTTTGCCCCAGGGTTCTTGATAGGCTCCAGTGGCGGATATGCAATATAAATTGGCCCTGCACTGGCATCTCGTCTACAGTCACTTTCTCACAGGCGCGCCATCACCTCTCTTTGTCTTTTTTACAAATACTTTCATGACAATTGCTCCGAGGAGCTGCATTCGCTGGTTCCCAGACTTCATGAATTCAAGCGCCCTATGAGGCTGGTATCCCACTCTCACCCTTTCACTGTCGAAACTCCTAAATGTAGCCGTCTCTTCTACTTCAATAGCTTCATGCCTTGCACCTCTCGCCTGTGGAACTCCCTTTGCTATTCCAGTTTCCCTGAGAGCTATAATCTCCAGCTATTCAAATGTAATGTCAATCGACATCTCCAGTTGCCTTGATCTATCCACTACCCTTCTCCTCATCCTTTCTTCTATCACTCGTATCTGATCTTGCTCCAAATTTTCTGTAACCCCTTGTGTCCTAGTGGCTTCCAGCCTTGCTTGGGGTGAAACACTTAAAAAAAAAAAAAAAAAATATATATATATATATAAAAAAAAAAAAAAAAATATATATATATATAAAAAAAAAAAAAAAATATATATATATATATATATTATCCTGACTGCTAGCACAACTGACTTTTATATGTCATGCATGAAACTCAGAGTTGAGCTAGCTGTGTGGGATAATATATATATATATATATATATATATATATATAGGTAGATAATATTAGTAGTCAGTATATATATTTTCAAGAGGACAAAACTTAGGTAGAGCTCTATGTACAAGGTAGAGCAAGAATATAATATAAAAGGCTCAAACACTAATATTCTATGGTTATAATTTATTACACTGGAATTGTAATCATGATCCAATTAATCAGACCTACAAATATACCCAGATTTCTAAAGAATTAATAGATTTATTTTTAATGTAACATTTTTATTACCTCAAATGTTATTTTTAGTGGATATCCATATTTGAAATAGTTACTTCATTTTTGTTTTTGCTTATTTTTCAGCTAATTCATTAGCTATTTTCAATTGCTTCATTGTTAGTATACTTTTGAGCGTTAATTTTCTAAGCTGCATTGTACAGAAGTAGTAGTAAATCCTAGCTGTGCTGGATATGCATAGTAGTAATTACACAGTAATTCCAATGAACAATTTCTATAAAATCTAAGTCCCTATAAAAGGAAAACCATAAAAAAGCATTATAAATGCTTAATAAAAAATGCATAAAATTTTCTTCTTGCATTACATTCTATGAAATGCATATACACACACACACACAGAGGGTGAAATGGATAGATGGTAGTTAAATTATGCTAAAATGAAAATAACACTGACATCTCATTTCAGCAAAGATATTTATACAAATTATACAAAAATATTTTGAAATACGAAAGAGTAAGTTTGCTCAATAAAATTGCTATTGGCTTCAACCATGGCCTCCAGACAACTTCAGTATTTCCTGTAACTCTTCATGATGGACTCTTTGTTTCAGTTGATGAATGCTTGCATGTTCTTTGTCTTCAGTTCATCTTTGGTGTTACAAGGAGTTTTGTTGGTCTCTCACTCAACTATGTCCCCCATATTATAATCAAGGGGGTTGCAGTCTGGGGAGTAAGGTGACCAGATGTAAGGTGTGATGTGGTCGCAGAAATTGTCTGACAGTCATAACTGTTTCACCTGCTTATGTGGCATAGTGCAAAGTCCTTTTGCCAAACATAGGGTCTTCAAGTAGCCACCTTCTTGGCCCATGGTAGCACTACCTCCTTTAGGTAATTGATGTAGGCCTCTGTGTTGTGTCTGACCCCTGTTGGAAGATGAATGGAGGCATAATGTCACTATCACTAGTGATTACTCCAAACACCTTCGTAATCACTATTAGACACATCCAACTCTTTCAGAATCCTCTTCACTGTCCTCAGACTGACGCTCAAACACTGAAATGTTCATACTGGAGCTTCCAGCATGAATGCCAAGCAGTCCAGCATGTAATTTTCAGATTTCTGGTGTAGTGAATGATGCTCTTTTTCTCAAAGATGGTGTCCAACTGACCCTACTATACTGTGCAGTTGACAAAATCAAAACCAAACAACATACATGCATGAAATTAAAAATATAAAATGGTGAAAATTTACCCATTTCACCATATATATATATATATATATATACGGATATCATTATTGAGGTTTACTTTTTCATTGTAAACATATAATGTGTCACAAGAAAGATATAACCTCAAAAGAAAAAACAAAGTAACATCAAGTCCTTGAGTGATGCAAACAGAACATTGCAATTTAGAAAAATACTGAAGAGAGATCAAAAAGTTAATTGAAACCTTTGGCAAAATAAGGACAAGAAAGAATAGCTTTAAAAATGTAAGAAAAAACATCTGAGGAAAATTAAAAGTGAAATAAACAAGAAAACTAAATTGTCCAGCAAGTAAATATTTGAAGGAGCTGGTTTGACAAATGCAAACAAAGAAAAAAAATGCAGAATATTAAGAACATTAGTTTAAGACATGAAAAACATGAAACTGCCACCTTCAAGTAAACATTGGATAGAGAAACAAGTTGGAGGAGGAAGTACATGAAAACTGATTTTTCAACTATTATTTTTAGTAATAAATGAAGAACGACATTGGCTGAGTCAAATGTTAACTTAAGAGACAACAAGTGGGAAGTGGAGTTATATTTTAGTCTAGTATTACAGGCAGTAATAATATAGGTCACTCAAAAATGGATGATTGTGTCTATAATGATGTATATCATTAATATAAACTTTTGAATAAATGTTTGTTTTTTATATTGTTATAGGTCATCAACAACAATCTTTAATTTCAAGAGCACATTCATGTAAAATGATTCTTTTTCACATACAGAAAAGCTGGTTATTGCCCACATTACCCAAACTACCTTACTTTCCAGCCTTGATAGAGTTAAAAATTATTAACACAGTCTTGCAGGGGAAGACTTATTTCTATCTCGACAACCTCTTGCCCCAGAGTTGCAAGCCTATCATTACTCTATAACTATTTTCATGGAAAAAAATTTAGTTCCATCATTTCAGATATTTATAACTAGGACTTGCCAGGCTACATCCATGTACCAAATTTCCTCTGTGTTTCACTTTTAAGGAGAAATTTCATTCAAAGAGTTTTCCTCCCAAGAATTGCTACTTTGTGGAAGAAATTCCAGCATCAATACTTCTTAAAATGCTAAACCTCTTTAAGTCATGGGTCAAGTGTTATCTATCCACTTTATTCTCATAATGTTCAGTTCCTTCTACCTCCTCTTATATTCATATCACACATTACATACACTCTCTACAATGAGTGG